CACTGCCTGATCTAGACACAGCACAGCTCCTCACTGCCTGATCTAGACACAGCACAGCAGCAACAAAAAGATTGACAACAGAAGTTTTAAGCCCTGTTACAAGTGTAGAATTGCAATCAGATGAGTTGTGTCTAAGTCATACCTGACACCGTCAGACCTCAGCTCCATCTTGTTTACTACGCTAAAGGGAAGACAGTGCAGCTCTGGAGGTGGCAGAAAAGGAGGGGAGGTCACGCCCTCTTTAGCCTGGGGCCGAGCCTCTACTCTGCTTGGGGACTTGTGGCAGAAATGCCACGATCCTGGCGGGCACAAGCTTAGGGGACTTTTCTTCAGGATAAGCAGCAGCACAAGGGCTGGGACAGCAGGGGATATCAGCTTGAGCGCCATTCCAGACTGAGAGAAGGAGATGTTTCCTGACAGAGGACTGTTGTGGTCTGGAACAGCCGACGCTGTGGGACGGTTTCAGCCCAGTGGAACGACCCGCCCGCTCGTACCCGCGCACCTCTGTCGGGGGCCGGCCTCTTGCGGGGCCGGCCGCAGACGCTCTTGCGTTTGGCCTTCAGGCAGCGGGGGGGCGTCCTGGGCTCCGCCAGAGGCTCCGGGGGGGGGTCCTCTTCATGGCTGCAGAACCCTGGGGTGCACGAGCAGGAGACAGGCTGTGGGAACACTGCGGGAGGCTGGTGATGACGAGGGCGACCGGATCGGCCCGAGCGAGGTGCAGCGTGAGATGTACTACACACACCAGCATTCTCTTGCCCCTCCTCTCTAAGGCTCGGGCACGTCTGAGCGCTTAGACCACAGACACACGCCATCCCAGAAAGGTGGTGTTGGTGAGAGGACACTCTTGGCATGGATGGATAATTAATCACTTACACTGAACGCCAACTCCACATGACCGTCCGCCTGTCAGGGGCCCTGCTCAGTGTCACAAAGACACAGACTTACTGCAGGCAGACAACCTGTCTTTTACACAGGACACGACTAAGCCAGACCTGGTCCTGCACAGCTGAGATAGCCGAGTCCGAGGAACAGGCCTCCACCACAGGTCGTAGCCTGTCAGCGCTGCAGGGAGCCCTGGTACAGGAGGGGTTTCTCTGACTTGAGGCTCGGTATCACTGTATCCGACTGAGACCAGCCACACGCCCGGCTCCACAGCTCAGAGCCCGCGTGCCGGCCGCCCTCTGACCTCTTGCCTGCTGTCAGCATCCCGTGCGGCAGAGGCGGGTGTCTGGAGGCGCAGAGGGGTCCTCACCTCTCTCGAGGACGCAGGTCTCCGGCAGCTTGCTCTGCGCGTCGTCGATGTGCCTCCTCAGCAGCTGCAGGTACCGCAGCAGGTGGAGCAGAATCTCCTTCTGTGGAGCAGAAAGAGCGCAGTGAGGCGCAGCAGGAGGCAGGGGCTCCCCTCCCGGGGCTGAGGGGGCGCGCGGGGCGCAGGGCCGCGGTGGGGGGTACCTGAGACAGGCAGCGGCTGCCGGCCGGCGCTGGGAGGGGCAGCAGGGCGGCGATGTCTCTCAGGACGTCCCGAAACTCCTTCCTGCAAAGAGCACAGCACGGTGCCAGGGTCCCTCCAACAGACACAGCAGCGCCGGGCTGACGGGCCTGGAGGAACCCTGGCTATCGGGTCTCCGCCCTGGGGACGAGCTCCGGAGGCAGGGCAGGAGCGCCTCTGCTGCCCCAGGCCACAGCCCTCAGAGCTGCCGATGTCCAGAGTCACAAACAGCAGCTTTACTCACCTCACACTGCGGCCTTCTGCCCAGCCACTGTCCCCGCCCTCATATTCCCAGTCACCGCAGAGCCTGGCTGATCCAGGGCTCCTCACCCACTCTGAGACTGTGTGTTGCTCTCCTCTGTGCCCACATGCTTGCTTGTGGACATATTGTTAACTGCTACAGAAATCTGTGAAGCATTCGGCAGCAAACTGTATTAAAGGATACTATTGCACAAGATGGATTGATTGACTGTTTTCTGAATATAGCAGTAGTGCAGCAGCACTGAAAGACTACTGCTGGCACTGCTCCAACACTACTACTGTCTCTGCTCCAACACTACTACCGGCACTGCTCCAACACTACTACCGGCACTGCTCCAACACTACTACTGGCACTGCTCCAACACTACTACTGGCACT